CCCTGCCAGGGTCCCAGGGCAGCCAGAGGGAAGCTCTGGGTTCCCACAGGGGTGGAGGCTCAGGGATGGCTTTTCCCAGGGGATTTCATGGGCACAGAAGGGGGTGTGGGGTACAGAATTCCTGCTCTGCCAGTGTGAGGGGCACAGGGAAACCCAAACCTCGGGGTTCTGGCCTCATAACCCACGATTAACCTGGTGTTAATGGATGTGGCATCCTCGATGAACCTGGTTCCACGGATGTGGCATCCTTGGGAGGCACAGGCAGGAAAATCCCGAGGATTTGGGTCTGTGCCTGGCACACGCAGGTGAATGTTGCTTTTGGGTCTTGCAGAAGCGGGTGTGCCAGCTGCTGGACACCATTCCCCGGGAGGCTGGTGCCCAGCTCGTGAGCTGTGCCATGGACGTGGATTCCAGGCAGAAACTCCCCCCTGACTCTGCTCCCTGGGCTGCAAGGACAAAGCAGAATTCCGTGGTGAGTCCCCACTGTCCGTGGCTTTGCTGCAAAATCACTTCTCAAATTCTTTATTATTTTATTATATATTTTTTATATATTATAACATTGTTCTATTGTATATTATAATTATTTATATTTTTTTTTTTTATAATAAAGCTGTAAATAATTGCCCTCTTTTTTTAAAATTTTTGATGAATTTGTGTCTGGTTTTGTTCCTCAGATTTTGGAAAATCATGGGAGCAACGGCATTTCCCAGCCCTGCCCAAGATGTGTTGCTGGAGAATCTGTAAGTGTGGGAATCTGCTTTTTGGGACAAAAAGGACTGGGAGTTGTTCCCCAGTATTTGATCCATAGAACATGAAGTTAATAACCTCCACAATTGCATTGCTCAGGAATAAAGTGTGGAAATTAAAAATAAAGGAGATGGATTCAGCATTCCAACTGAGCACAAATTCATATTTCCAGCAGCAGTTGGAAAATATGGAGATTCTCAACACTTCTTTCAAATTCTCTCTAAAAAGCAGAATTTGGGAAATAACTGAAAAAAAACAATAACATAACACTTCCTCTACTTCATTTTACTTGTCCTTGATTTACTGGATCATAACAAAATATTCAGGAATCTCATTGTGCCTCCTATGTTTTCCTGTAATTGGCTATTTCCTTTCTAATGAAGAGATAAAATATTGAAAATATTGTTCCTTGCAGAGCCAATATGAGGGGAGGTGTGAGGAAATGCTGGATGTCCATAGCAAAATCTCCGATTTATGGAATCAAAGGCAAATTTTCCATCAAAGTTTCCATCAGGAGCTGTGACTGAGCAGACATTGATTGTGTTAATTTATTTCCACTCATCCCTGGAGGAAAAATAAAAAAAAATTAAAAAAAAAAAGTGAATATTTGTGGTGGTGCTCAGCGATTTCAAATAAAATTTGAAAATGAAGGGCAAGGAAAAGTTTTTTTTCTTTGCAGTGACCTGAGATTTTCTCATTCCAGGGCCACTTCAGTCACATCCTGGGCTTCTAGAGGAGGAGAGGGGCCAGAGGAGCAGCTCTGATTCCTGCTGGGATCACAGGGTGCAGCTGGTCCTGCCCTGCCCTGCTGCCATCCGGGCACCACTGCTGCCACCCTACACCTGCCCAAAATGCTTCTGCTCCTCGGGTGCCTCAGAACTGGTCCAAAAAGGACAAGGAGAGGCTGATTTCATGTTTAGGTAAATGAGAATTTGTTTTAAAAGAACATGGAGAGGCTGATTTCATGTTTAGGTAAATGAGAATTTGTTTTAAAAGAACATGGAGAGATTGATTTCATGTTTAGGTAGCTGAGAATTTGTCCAAAAGAGACAAGAAAAGGCAGATTTCATGTTTAGCTCAGAATTTGTACATAAAGGACAAAAAAAATTTTGAGTTTAGGTAGCTCAGAATTTGTTGTTCATAAAGGGTAAGAAAAGGCAGATTTCCTGTTTAGGTAGGTCAGAAATTGTTTTAAAAGGACAAGAAAATGGTGNTGCAGAGCCAATATGAGGGGAGGTGTGAGGAAATGCTGGATGTCCATAGCAAAATCTCCGATTTATGGAATCAAAGGCAAATTTTCCATCAAAGTTTCCATCAGGAGCTGTGACTGAGCAGACATTGATTGTGTTAATTTATTTCCACTCATCCCTGGAGGAAAAATAAAAAAAAATTAAAAAAAAAAAGTGAATATTTGTGGTGGTGCTCAGCGATTTCAAATAAAATTTGAAAATGAAGGGCAAGGAAAAGTTTTTTTTCTTTGCAGTGACCTGAGATTTTCTCATTCCAGGGCCACTTCAGTCACATCCTGGGCTTCTAGAGGAGGAGAGGGGCCAGAGGAGCAGCTCTGATTCCTGCTGGGATCACAGGGTGCAGCTGGTCCTGCCCTGCCCTGCTGCCATCCGGGCACCACTGCTGCCACCCTACACCTGCCCAAAATGCTTCTGCTCCTCGGGTGCCTCAGAACTGGTCCAAAAAGGACAAGGAGAGGCTGATTTCATGTTTAGGTAAATGAGAATTTGTTTTAAAAGAACATGGAGAGGCTGATTTCATGTTTAGGTAAATGAGAATTTGTTTTAAAAGAACATGGAGAGATTGATTTCATGTTTAGGTAGCTGAGAATTTGTCCAAAAGAGACAAGAAAAGGCAGATTTCATGTTTAGCTCAGAATTTGTACATAAAGGACAAAAAAAATTTTGAGTTTAGGTAGCTCAGAATTTGTTGTTCATAAAGGGTAAGAAAAGGCAGATTTCCTGTTTAGGTAGGTCAGAAATTGTTTTAAAAGGACAAGAAAATGGTGATTCCATGTTTAGCTCAGAAGTTGCTCATAAAGGACAAGAAAATGCAGATTTCATGTTTAGGTAGCTTAGAATTTGTTTTAAAAGGACAAGAAAATGGTGATTCCCTGTTTAGCTCAGAATTTGTCTAAAAAGGACAAGAAAAGGCAGATTTCGTGTTTAGGTAGCTCAGAATTTGTTCATAAAGGACAAGAAAAGGCAGATTTCATGTTTAGGTAATTCAGAATTTGCTCATAAAGGACAAGAACAGGCAGATTTCATGTTTAGGTAGCTCAGAAATTATTTTAAAAGCACAAGAAAATGGTGATTTCATGTTTAGTCAGAATTTATTCATAAAGGACAAGGAAAGCCAGATTTCATGTTTAGGTAACTCAGAATTTGTCTAAAAAGGACAAGAAATGGCTGATTTCATGTTTAGGTAGCTCAGAATTTGTTTTATACATAAAAGTCAAAAATTTTAAGATAAAAAAATTTAAGCCTATCCTGTCCTCCCTCTTTCTTCTTCCTTACCTCCATGTTCTTAGTAATGTTGGCACTCACAAATTAGTTTAAAGTAAAAAAGCACCATTTCATATAAATAATAAACATTTAAAGGACTGTAAACATTTAACACATAATATACCATATAAAAAATAACATCAGCCCTAAGCAAGGGAAAAAAAAAAGACAAAAAACAAACAAACAAACAAATCAAAGTATGTATGTGTCTCTACCTAAGCTGCTAGACAACCCGCAGCAGCTAAAAAAAAACCAACTCTTTTAAATAACTTAAAATAAACAACAGCAGCTCCCTGGCCTCTCCAGCTGAATAAAACCACCTTTAGCTCCTCTCACACCCCTCGTTATCCTGATTTTTTCCCCACACTGGAAGGCAGAAGCTCCTGGAGCAATTCCAAGGTGAGCTTTTCCTCTCGGATCTGCTGCCTTGCTCCGTGTTTTCCAGCAGGGCAAGGAGTGATTTCTTCTAAATCAGTCTGGCTGGAAACAAATTGGAGTTTAATTGTCTGCTCCACTGAAGGCCTTTAATAGTGCTATTTTTTTTAATAGATGTGTTTGTAATTTATTTGGGGATTTTCCAGGATCATAAAGCTGGCACAGGCTGGGGCACTGAATATTCCTTTAAAGCAGATTTGTGTCAAATCTGCAGTGTAACCACAGAGTTATTTTTGTATGCCTTGTAGAACTCTGAAATTTTGTTTTCTTGATGACAAAAAAATATATAAACTTTCTATTTCCTACTGCAGTGGTTTGTACACAGAATAACCAGAGTGATGCTTTATTTACTTGTATATAGAGAGAAAGGCCCCTGGCCTGTTTTTAATTCAGGTTTAAAGGATCTAATTCATATTTTTAACTTTGTATTTTGTAAATTGTTCCTTACAAAAGCAGAAACATTAAACACCACTTTGGCTGCAGCATGTAGTTGTCTGGTTGTGTTATTCCATGAATGGTTTGAGGAATAAAGGTAAATAAAACCTCTGATGAGGAGAAGAAGTACATTATTTGTGTCATGTAAAATCTTCGTAGTGGGTTTAGGTGCTCACTATTAATTTGATGGTAATTACAGGTCCACTTGGCATCTTGACTGATAAAAAAAGAGGGAAAATCAAAATATTTGGATAAGTGGGGTTTAAAGGCAACCTGGATCTGAGAAGGCAAAACTTATGTGTTGAAATGAATACAGTTAATATATTTAAATTTATTTTTGTTTATTTTAAGCACAATAATTTATTGACTAGATTTAAAATCCGTGGTGTTTATGTCTAAATTAGTTACTTAAAACCTCCTGGGAGCGTGGTGTGATACCCAGTGTTAGCAGATGCAGTCACACATAAATAACTCTGCCTTTGCCTCGATTACTGCAGCTAATTATCCAATTAACACTCACACTGGGCATTTCCTCCCACATCCAGCTTCCACTCGGGGTCCCAGCGTGGTCATGCTGGGGCTTGGTGCTCTGAGCAGGGGCAGGGCTGGGGTTTTGGGCAGAGGGGTTTTTTTGGGAGCCTGCAGAGCTGCTCCTGCTCTTCTCCCTGTCCCCAGGGCCTTGGCCAGCAGCTGCCCCAGCCTGGGGACACCAGGACTGAGCCATCCCTCTCCCTCCTGAGTTCTTCCCAACTCTCTTCAAGGAAGCAAAAAACAAAAAGCAGTGCCCACAATGTTTAAACACAGAGAAAAATAAAAAATCCCAGGAAGATGCAACAGAGTCACGGAATTGTTCAGCTTGGAAAAGCCTCTGAGTCCTTCGAGTCCAGCCCTGCCCAGGCCACCACTGCCCTGTGCCCAAGTGCCACATCCCCAGGGCTGTGAAATCCCTGCAGGCATGGGGGCTCCAGCCTTTTCCAGGAAGGAATTTTCCCAATACCCATCCTGAATCTCCCCTGGCACAGCTTGAGGCTGTTTCCTGCCAGAATTCCAGCCTGCTTTGGGCTGGAAGGGACCTCAGATCCCAGCCAGTGCCACCCCTGCCATGGCAGGGACCCCTCCCACTGCCCCAGGGTGTTCCAGCCTGGCCTTGGGCACTGCTGGGGGGATATTCTGGTGTGACTGTGGTGGGGATATTTTGGTGAGATTAAGGTGGGGATATTTTGGTGAGATTGAGTATGCTGGGGGATATTTTGGTGTGATTATGATGAGGATATTTTGGTGAGATTATGGTGGGAATAGTTTGGTGTTATTGATTATGGCAGGGGATAGTTTGGTGTGATTGAGTATGGTGGGGATATTTTGGTGTGATTACGGTGGGGATATTTTGTGAGATTATGGTGGGGGATATTTTGGTGTGATTGATTATGGTGAGGGATATTTTGGTGTGATTATGGGGAGATATTCTGGTGTGATTATGGTAGGGATATTTTGGTGTGACTATGGTGAGGATATTTTGGTGTGATTGATTTTGGTGGGGATATTTTGGTGTGATTGATTATGGTGGGGGATATTTTGGTATGATTATGGTAAGGGATATTTTGGTGGGATTGATTATGGTGAGGGATATTTTGGTGTGATTATGGTGCAGTATATTTTGGTGAGATTATTGTGGGGATACTTTGGTCTGATTGATTATGCTGGGGTATATTTTGGTGTGATTATGGTGGGGATATTTTGGTGGGATTATTGTGGGGATACTTTGGTGTGATTGATTATGCTGGGGGATATTTTGGTGTGATTGATTATGATGGGGATATTTTGGTGTGACTAAGGTGGGGATATTTTGGTGTGATTATGGTGGGAATAGTTTGGTGTTATTGATTATGGCGGGGGATATTTTGGTGTGATTCTGGTGGGAATAGTTTGGTGTGATTATGGTAAGGGATATTTTGGTGTGATTGATTATGGTGGGAGATATTTTGGTGTGATTATGGTGGGAATAATTTGGTGTGATTATGGTGTTGTTACTGCAACAATCCCGAAATCGCTGCGTGATATTTGCTTGCAACACAGGGTGTCATTCATGAGTTATACATAAATGGCAGCTTTACATATTTAAAAGGAACATGGACTGCTTCATATCTGAAGTATGGTTCCCAGGGGAGAACACCACCATTTGATCTATTTTTGATTAAAATGTAAAAATTAAAAATTAAATCAAATGGTAGACAAATTCCTTGGGGAAAACATACTTCAGTTATGAAGTATTCCCCGTAGTAACCTTGAGAATCTTACAGCTGTATTGTCTCATCTGTAGGTGGTCTTTTTATGTCTCACATAATTAAAATGAATTGCTGGTAGAGAACCCCTACTACTGCATACAGATTTATGAACCTGGAGGCACCTCCACTGCCAGACAAACAGGGACAGCCACGCTCCCTGTG